GGAAGTAAATGTTGATTTTAGTTTAAGTACTATTGTTAATTAAAATAATCTACGATGATAATAGAGTTAAAATAAATATTATGTAATTTTTTTAAAATTTTGTATATAAATTAGTTTGAAAAGCATGTTTTTTAAAATGAAAAAATACATTTATTATATGAAAAGAAAAAAAATTAAGACATTCTAATCATAACTATTAAATGTATATGATATAGTATGGGTATTACTTTTATTAAGTTTGTTAAATGATTATTATTAAATATCTTTATGTTTTTAATATTATGATATTTTAATTTTTTCTTTTCTCTTATTGTATTTCCCTTTTTAAAATAATTTTGACTTTTTTTAGTTTGAACTTATCCTTAATTAATTTCAAATTTTTTTAATAAATAAATAAATATTTTTAATTAAATTTTATTATTATTTATTTATTTTAATTAATTATTTTGTTATCTTTGACTTCTAGTTTTTTAAGAATAATATCAATACATATCCATACATAGATTTTCATAAATTATTTTTCAAAAAAATTATCATAAATTATGACTGATATTTTGGGACAAAGTATGCGGTACGTCTCGCGCACACAGCTTGGCCAAACCGTAAAATGAATTTACACCAGAATTCGGGACTCAGGAGAAAAGAAGAAATCGCACGCGAGGCGATGGACGTAGACCAGTCATCATCGCGTCCGCCTCTTAAATACAATGACCATAAAGCCCCTCACACGTGCTCATGACTTACGGCGCCGTTCATTTCACCTGGACACCCGTTTTTAAGTTGACCGATTTCTCCTTTTCTGTCATCCCAAAAATATCCCCAAAAATATCATATTCGGGTTTTTGTTTAATTTTAATATTTGGATTTAGTAAGTTAAGATTTTAAATTTTATTAATAATTTAAAAATAAGATATGCAATTCCAATGAATTTTCTATATTAAAAAAAATGCCATACACGGATGTCAAATGGGTATTTCTGTCTTTCCATATCTGCCTGCGCTCTCGCATTTTAAATCCCTCCGGTGGGT